CCCCCCCCCCCCCCTAAATATGATCAAAGGAAAATCGAATACTTTCGTAACGATTGATAATCTTTTTGATCCTTCACTATATTCGTGGATTGAAAAAGATTATATAGGGGCAGAGACAGATATAGCAGTCATTCATGTTTTTGACACACAGAAAACTGTACCAATTTCACCTGAGGAAAAGACAAAATGCCACAAAAACACACACACTCACACACACATAAGAAGTGGGAGTCCTTTTGGCAACCATAGTCACCATGTTGCCCATTTGATGAAGGCTACAAGTTATAGTGGAAGCGAGTGACCCACCCATAGCAATAAGAAAAAGAATAAATATAAAAAAGAGTTTTATTTTTGTATAATAACTTACATTGCCAGGTCTTTCCATTTTCCTAGATTTCTTTTTTACCTAGCTGTTTTTGTTCTGGTTTTTCTATAATTTTGTTGGTGTTACTGGTTCATTAACTTTTTTATTATCGCGTTTCTTTCTCTATTCTGTTGTGATTGATTATTTATCGAAAACAGCATTCGTGCCTGCACAAGATAGGGATAAGTCTATATACACACTAACTTCTCGGACCATACTTGGTAAGATTAAATTGAGTATGTCGTTGTTGTTGGAATTACACTATCAGGTAATTGATAGATAATTATGAAAATAAGTATCATAACAAATGAAATTAACAACCTGAAAAATAAGACAATTAACTTGTTACAATATATTAAATTTATTAATAATATAAATATTATTCATGCTGATAATGTATATGAGTAAAATTAAAAAGGAGGAAGAGGAAAAGGTAGAATGAATGGGTGTTCCTACCTCTTGGAAACTGCCTCAAAAAATACAGACACTGACAACCCAATGGGTCACTTTTTATCTCTCCATTCCTCCCTACCAAACAAGTTCGAAGTTCAAAAGAAAACCCCCTCAAAAACACTAAAGGAAAAGAAGAAAAACCTATGGTCAATTGTCACATTTGATTTCATCATCTAAGAAACCTAGTCAAAAGATGAAATTTTGGCAGGGCACTCAAGTTTCATCATGTAACTATGTAGCATTATTTTTTTTTTTCTGTATTTCTTAAGTATTTTATTTTGCTGAGGTCAAAAAAAAACAATCCACCAAGCATAAGCATAGAGTGATTCAAAATTTAAAGTTTATGTGTTTCTACATTTACCTCAACTTGAGGTAATATTAATTAGTTACCTCATTATACATTTACCTACATTTATGTTTACAGTGAAATATTTTATAGATATTTAATGGATTTCTTGATACATATATAAGATCTAGATAAAAGCTAACGAGTCCCGTGAACTAGAGGCAGATCTAGGTTTTAGGATATAGGTTCACGTGAACTCATACTCCTCTTTCTGAACCATGTATAATAATCTTATATTTCTTCAAAATTATTTAAATATATGTGCGTGCACCTATGCTCAGAGACTCCTATGATGCAATAATTATTGGGTGTACATCTACGAGTGAGATTGACGGTTCAAGTCCCACTTCAGACGGTGTTATTTTCGGCACACACACACACACACATATATATATATATATATATATAATTTTAAAAAGAATATAATTTTTAACCTATAATCTTAAAATATAGTGGGTTCATGATAAGAGACAAAAATTAAATACGTTAAATATAATTAAATTTTAGATCCACCTCTTATAATAGTGCACTAATCCTCTTGAAATTCTAAATTCACCTTTGCCGTGAACCTTATCTTATACTCGGGATGCCACTGCCACCAATGATTTCTTTCTCTGTGGCCAAAATTTTACAAGGCCATGCCCTTAAAAAGTGGATTTTAGGGCTGCAATATTTGATTTACACATTTTAGACTGTCTATTGCGTGACGTGACTTGATATGTTGGGGATGATTAGATATCCATTTTATATGGTCTTTTTGTGCTCCAATAATGAACATTGCTACTTGGGTTTTTTAGGTTCCCATGATGATACTTTAGGGATGGTTTGATCATATATAATATTTTAATATTTAAAAAAAATTGATCTGAACGTCAATATTTATAAATATTGACATATAATATTTGAATTAATGCTGGTGAAATATGACAAAACTTTTATGATTAGTAATTCAAGTGGAATAATAGTGAATTATGCATTTATACTCACAACACTTTAATTTCTTTTGAAGAAAAATTCACGTCTAACGCAATTTCAGCTTTCAAAATACTCTTCTCAAGTTCAACTTAAAATACTTCTTGTTTATTTTTTAAATTGAACCAAATGTTGTACAACGGCCTCACTCAGTTATTTTCATTTCGTTTGATACTAATTTGATACTCCATAAAGTTTTTTTTTCTCTCTTTCAATTTTATTGGAAAAGAATATAACAAAATTATATTGTTACGTTGAGAATAATTTTATACACATTAAGTCACTGTCTTGGAATAGATATATCATGGGAGGGTAGGAAACATATGATCTCTCCTATACACGTACTACTATCTTGTCATTTATTGGGAGACACTAACTAATCTCTAATTAATAGGTCTAATTAATAAGAATTGATCATTTGTCCATTTATCCATTAAAACCCACTGATTATATATTTCGTCACACTTTCCTGTTTAAGTAACCGAAACATTGATATATATATATATATATATATATATATATATATATATATATATACTCCTGGTAAATGAGGAAAGGAACAAAGATAGAACAGAGAAAGGAAGAAGAAATTAAGAGAGCAGAGTTTGGAAATATCGAATTCATATTTGCATGCATTGTACATGTGTATATATATACATACATCACTTAACCACTAACTACCTAATAATATATTAGCTGTTGACAAATGTACATTTAGCCCACTAACTAACTTCTAACCTCCTAACTAACCTCTACACTATGCATACTTCTCAACAAGTTGAGGGATGAAAGAGGTTTTTCATTCCCAGCTTGCTAATCAAATACTCATGTTGTGGTTTGCATAGACTCTTGGTAAGCAAATCAGCAGGCTGTTCCTTAGTCCCGATATGTGGAGTCTGAATTTGACTACCCTGAATTTTCTCCCTTACAAAATGACAATCACTGTTAAAGTGTTTTGTCCTTTCATGAAATATGGGGTGTGCTGCAATCTGTATAGCAGCTTTGCTATCACAGAACAACTGCACAGGAGTGTTCATTGCAACTCCTAACTCTCCAAACAAACCAACTAACCAAGTGACTTCAACAACAGTAGCTGCCATGCTCTTGAATTCTGATTCAGCAAAGCTCCTAGAAACTGTGCTTTGCTTCTTGGACTTCCAAGGAATTAAAGCTTCACCAAACTTAACTACATAACCAGTAATAGACTTCCTTGTTTCCACACATGATCCCCAATCTGAATCACAGTAGGCAACCAGTTCCTTGTTACCTTTTGCTGGCATAAACAGTCCCAATCCTACAGTTCCCTTGACATACTTGACCACTCGTACAACTGCTTCCGTATGTGACTTCTTAGGAGCATGCATGTGTTGGCTCAGTACTTGAACAACAAAGGCAATGTTTGGCCTTGTCATTGACAGGTACAACAATCTGCCTACCAATCTTTGATAGCTACCTAGGTCCTCAATTTGTGTATCTGTAGAGGCTTCTACTTTGTTTATGAATTCATCAAATGCTACTCAGGTGAGTTTATGATTGAACTCAAGAGGTGTAGCAACAGGCATTTCACCAGCTAATCCCAGCTCAGACACTAACTCAAGAGCATATTTCCTTTGATTCATAAGAATTCCTTCTTTAGATCTGGAGAACTCAATTCCCAGAAAGAATTTTAATTCTCCCAAGTCCTTAATTTTAAACTTAGCTTGCAAATCTGTCCTCAGTTGATGAATAAGCTCCACATTGTTCCCAGTAACCACCAGGTCATCAACATATACCAGGATTACTATCAGATCACCACCTACCCTTTGTGTGAAAAGAGAGCAATCATAATGGACTGTACAAATCCCATATCCTTCAGAGCAGAAGTCAGCTTCAAGTTCCACTGTCTAGGAGCCTGCTTGAGTCCATACAAGGAGTTATGCAATCTGCATACTTTCTGATGATACTCCCCCTGGCTGGCAAAGCCATCTGGGATCTGCATATAGACCTCTTCAAGGAGGTATCCTTGAAGAAATACATTGTGCACATCCATTTGAAAAATAAACCAGCCAGATGCTGCAGCCAAAATCACCATAGATCTCACTGTCACCATTTTGGCCACATGAGAGAAAGTCTCTTTGTAATCTAGACCCTCAAGCTGACTGTACCCCTTAGCAACCAGTCGAGCCTTATACCTTTCCACCTCCCAGTGGATTTGTTTTGACCTTGAAAACCCACTTGCAACCAATAGGAGCCTTGCCAGGAGGCACGTCAACAATGGACCAGGTCTGATTCTCCTCAAGGGCAGCAATCTCAGCTTGCATGGCTTCTATCCACTTAGGATCAGTACTGGCCTCAACATAGGAGGTAGGCTCAGACACAACTGAGTATGCAGCAATACAAGCCTGATAGGCAGGAGATAGCTTGTCATAACAAACATACAGGGAAATGGAATAATTGCAGACTGCTCCTTTAGAGGGTACAACATAGTCTTTTAACCATATAGGAGGAACAGAGGTCCTAGAGGATTTCCTAATAGGAGGTGGAATAGGAGAAGGACTGGACTGTGGATGAAGATCAGAAACTAGGTGAGTAGGATCAACTGATTGACTAGAACCAGAAGAAGGGGACTCAATTCTAGGAGTTCTACGAGGATGAATGCACTGAAGTGAAGAGCAATCAGCCTATGAAAGATCCAAAATGGGAAATAAAGGAGAAGAACCAGAGATGACATGCTTAAAGGGAAAAACATCCTCCTTGAAGACAGTGTCCCTACTCACAAAGAATAGTTTTGAGTGAAGACCATATAAAATGTATCCCTTTCGCACAGAATAGTAGCCAAGATGAACAGTAGGAACAACCCTGGGGCTAAATTTATCTGCTTTGCTAGTAGAAGTGGCATAGCACAGACTACCAAAGACCCTCAAATGCTGGAGAGATGGAACCTTGTTATAGAGTTTCTCAAAGGGAGATGCTCCCTTCAACAAGATAGTAGGCAATCTATTCAGAAGATAGACTGATATGGAAACACACTCACCCTAGTACTGTAGTGGAACAAATGCTTGAACCTCAAGGCTCTTGCCATGTTAACAATAGACCTGTGTTTTATTTCAACTGTACTATTCTGCTGAGTTATATATACACATGAACTCTGATGAATAATTTCATGCAACACCAAGAGACTATTGACCTTCTCATTGAAGAACTCAGTACCATTGTCAGACCTGAGACACTTAACCTTGTTATCAAATTGAGTCAGAACTAGTTTAAAAATATTTTCAGCACAACAACAGATTCTGCTTTAGTGTTCATCAAAAAGAGCCATGTGTAATTAGAGAAAATCATCTACCAATGTCATAAAGTATCTCTTACCATCATTAGTTGGAACCCTGTATGGGCCCCAGACATCAGCATGCACAAGTTCAAAAGGAAGAGTAGAACAAGAAATGCTGTGAGGAAATGACAGTCTAGATTACTTAGCAATAGGACACACTGTACAATGATGATCTTGCATAGGAATGTGAGGTAAACTAATAAACTTTTGTAGAACTTTCAGAGGTGCATGTCCTAGTCTCTTGTTCCACAAATACACAATACAATTCTCAGTAGACTTAGCATGGACTGCCTTATTGTTACTAGAACTAGAGCTAGTATTTACAGAAGATGCTAGATTGGTACTTTGCTTTGCATTCTGCAGTTGCACTGAGTCTTCAGGGATATCTGGCTTCAGGATGTAGAGTCCACACTCTTACTTACCAATCCCCATTACCTTCCTACTCAAGAGATCCTGAAAAAGACAGAAATAAGGAAAAAATGTAACAAGACATCTTAACTCATTTGTAAGCTTTGAGACTGAAAGCAAGTTGTATTTGACGTCTAGTATGTATAATACATTTTGTAATGATTTAGTTTTGAAGATTCTGGACGCTCCAGTGTGACTAATAGCAATCTGCTCACTATTAGGAAGATGAACCTTGTTATGGTCTATACTAGTGAGATCCTTGATTTCACTTAGTAACTTTGAATTATGTACCATATGATTGGAGGCCCCTGTGTCTACTATCCAGTTACCATTAACTAGATGAGACATGAAGGCTTTTATAGTACATGTGTTGTTCATAGTTGCTGCATTTGCCACTAATTCTACCTGTTTTACTTTGTTCAACATATGCAGGATCTGATCATATTGTTCTTGAGTAAACACTGGATCAGGGGAGAAAAATTGAGGAGTAGGTTGTGGAGTAGGTTGAGGAAGATCAGAAGGTTGAAATCCTCTAGCAGTAAATGCATTGTTAACCTGAGGACCTGAATAGCCTCTTTTCTTGGCCTTGAAATTAGCAGGGTATCCATGGAGCTTATAGCAAGTGTCCTTGGTATGACCTTTCAAGTGACAGTAGTCACATTGTAGTGTAGGCCTCCCAAGACTATTTCTAGGTTTGATACTACTATTTCCATTCCTAGAGTTAGCCTTGCTCATCAGTGCTGCTGAATCACCAATGCCAACACTTAGAGCTGTATTGTTTCTAATTTGACTCTCAACATTAACTACCATAGCATAGGTCTGGTTGACATTTGGAAGTGGTCGAATCATAAGGATCTGATCTTTAGCATTATCAAAAGAGTCATTTAGACCAGTCAAAAACTGATACAATTTCTGTAGTTGGTAATGTTCTGCATGCTGCTTGGATTCAAGACATCCACATGAAGGAGGAGGATCTAAGGCTTCATACTCATCCCATAACTCTCTAAGTTTTGAGAAATATTGAGATACGGTTAGCAATTTTTGAGTTAGTTTTGCAATCTCCTTGTGAAGATAAAATGATATAGCAGCATTCACTTTATCAAATCTCTCACGAAGATCTTCCCAGACCTTGTGGGCATTAGAAGCATAGATCACAACGCTCAGTAAATTTGGAGCTACAGTGTTCATTATCCATATTGTGATGAACTAAGTCAATAATCTAAGTATCAGGTGTAGATTATGTAACAGTGGTCGAAGTAGATTCATTTTCAACGATCGCCATAGTAATTTTGTAGATATGTAAATTGAAGAGAATTACTCACTCAAATTGTTGTAAAAGTTCAGAAAAGTTGTTGAATTTACTCAAAATCAGCAAACCCTAACTCGAAGAAGAGATCGTATCTTCAGCTGCAATTTGAAGAAGATGAGACTAATTCTGGATTCGACTAGTACAATTGTACCTTCTCCTCACTCGTCCGCCATTGTTGAACTCGCCAGAATTAAGCCGAGCTCTGATACCATGTTAAATGAGGCATAGCCATTGAAGGAACAGAGATAAAACAGAGGAAGGAAGAAGAAAGTAAGAGAGTAGAGTTTGGAAATAACGAATCTATATTTGCATGCACTGTACATGTGTATATATATATACATATATACATCACTTAACCACTAACTACCTAACAATATATTAGCTGTTGACAGCTGTACATTTGGCCCACTAACTAACTTCTAACCTCCTAACTAACGTCTACACTATGCATACTTCTCAACAACTCTATATTAAACAAATGCTATTATTAGGAAACGTATTGTTTAGGCCAAATCTATAGTAGTATTAGTATAATTTGTTCCTAAAGCATCATCACCACGACAAATTTCTCTTTTTTCATATATGTTAGGCTAGAATGACCCAAAGATACTCTTAATAAGGTGTGATATTGTCGGCTTTAGGCAAACCCCGCACGACTTTCCTCAAAAGGTTTCACACCATTAAAATATCCTTACACCTTATATATAAGCTTTCAATTTTTTTAGCTACCTAGACGGGACTTGTTTGCATACACTACTAGAAATCCGGAAAAAAGCGACCACAAAAAGCGACCAAAATCATCCAAACTGGCTTGGTCGCTATTTTGTTGGTCTCTAAGGTAAAATGACCAAATTTTTCGGTAAACAATATACCGACCAACTTTGGTCGCTTTAATATTTTAATAATATAAATTTAGCGATCAAAGTTGGTCTCTATAATTAAATTATATTTTTTATTTATTTATTAATATTCAAAATATAGCGACCAACTTTGGTCTGTAAACCAAATATTATATTTTAAAATCTGGAAAATAGCGAGTTACTTTTTTTTTTTTAATTTTTTTAAATTTTTTTTAAACATAAGCGACCAAAATTGGTCGCTAACTTCAAGAATTTAATTTTTTTTTTAACATAAGCGACCAAAATTGGTCGCTAATTTCCAGAATATTTTTAATAGAATAGCGACCAAAGACGGTTGCTTTTTAGGAAATCTAGGTTAATTAGCGACCAACCTTGGTCGCTATTGCCCAGAAAATATTTTTTTAAATAGAAAAGCGACCAAAGTTGGTCGCTTTTCTGGGTATAATTTTGGCAGCAACTGCCTGTTTTGGCAGCTACACCACCTGCCAGCATACCGAATTCCTAAATAAGAATATAATTCAATTCATAAACTACAATTTCAATACCAAAATCTCCACAACAACCCAACAACAACAACAACAACAACAACAACAACAACAATACAATAACAACAACAACACAATTCAAAAAACACATTAAAACCAACAAATTAGCTGGTACTGAGCTTGCATGCCAATGTACTGAGCATCTCTAATCTTTTCTCTTTCCTTGGCCGCTTCTAGCTCGGATGTGAGCTTTGTCACAGTCTCCCGCATAGCGGAGAGGCTCTCCCCGTCAAGTTGCTCGCCTTGCGAGGAAGTCCCTATTCCTTGCATTCCACACTTATAGCGATGGAATTTCTTAGTAGGAAGCCCGTATACCTTCCCCCATTTTGGACCGCCAGCAGCCTCCATCCACATTCTTTCAGCATCCTCGTCCGAAGGTTGGATTGGCTCGCCCGACTCATTACGTGGCTGACTGCGTATGAATTCCTCCACGTCAGCTGTGAAGCGACCCTATAAGAAAAATTACATTGAATTAGTATTTCAAAATTTATATAAAAGTAAATCAAAATACTTAATGAAAAGTGAAAACATACATGTACAGTCGAGGCTCGACCCTCGACCCACCTTTCTTGATCCGTCTCTTTCTTCTTCTTTACAATATGAGTCTCCTTAAATAGCTTATCTTGGTTCATCGGACGCCCCAACTTCTTGTCACGACCCTAAATCCCAACCCGGTCGTGATGGCGCCTCTCGTGAAGACAAGGCCAACCGACACACCTCCAATTCACTTTAAAAAACTAAAACAATAACTACTAAGTCTTTAATCAGAAATAAAATCCCAAAATAAGCATTTAACAGTATAATTTGCGGAAATAAAAACCAACACAGCCAGACATCGGGTGTCACTAGTCATGAGCATCTACTAAGGTCCGAATACAACTAGAGTCAAAAATGTACTAAACACGGTCTAATGAAATCGAGAGGGAGAAAAGCAATGATGTGAACGTCGGGAAGCTACCTTGCCAAACTCCGATGACTCTGCCTCTGAGCAACCAATACCCGCTACCGGGTTTAGAAATACCTGAATCTGCATATAAGGTGTAGGGAGTAAAGTGATTACTTCCAACTCAGTGAGTAATAAAAATAAATGAAGACTGAGTGATAGGAAAACGAATGATCCGAGTGCTCCAAATCTACCAAGTTCAGATTTTTATCATCAAATTATGCCAAACGAATGAATTCCAATTGAAAAATATCGATTTTAAGCACAAAACCCAAAATCAGTCAAAACCCGACCCCCGGGCCCGCGTCCCGGAACTGGACAAACTTTATACCAAAATGTTCTTCATCATCTCACGAGTTCGTACATATAAAGAACTCAAAAATCGGAGTTCGTTTGACCCCTCAAATCATCCCTAGAAGGTCTCATAATCTCAAGCCCTAACTCCACATTATTCTACTAATTTTCATGTCTAAATCCATGTAAGATTACATATTTAACTCAAAAATTGGAAGAAATCACTTACCTAGTATTGCTTGGTGAAACACCTCCTTGAGCTCGCCAAAATCGTCCAAGCCAAATGAAAGAAATGGGCTAAAACTCGTGTTTAAAACAATCTGTCCAGGCTTCATCGAGTTGTACCCTGCGCTGTGCATGTTGTACATTCTCTTACCATTTTCCCCTGCTGTACACCTTCTGTTAAAACGCCCATAACTCCTTGTGGAAATATCCAAATGCCAAACGGTTTGAAGATTTAGAAACTAGACTCAAAGATCTTTCATTTGATAGGTTGTACACCATATAACTCTTTATATATTCCGAGATATGAGCTTCTAAAGTCGGCTCCATGCATCAGAAAATTCTGTCGAAACTGCTCCACCAGCAATCTTCAATTGATCATAACTTTCTGATAAAATGTCCAAATCATGAATGGTTTAACTTCCTGGAAACTAGAATGCAAGGGATACAACTTTCATGTGTTTGCAATTTTTCTGATTCCTTATAGATTGCAAGATATGAGCTTCCAAACTCGACTCCTCGCATCAGAAATTTTTCTGGTGAACAGCTGAAGCTCAAAAATCTGCAACTTTTCCAAAGCATGAAATAGTCCGTTTAACCACCCGAAACTCACCCGAGGCCACCGGGATCTCAACCAAACATGACAACATATCCCGTAACATCATTTAAACTTGTTCCAACCTTCGGAACGCTCAAACAACATCACAACACCAAATTTGCATCGGATTCAAGCCTAAGAATTTCAAAATCTTCTAAATTACGCTTTTGATTAAAAAAAACCAACCAAACCACGTCCGAATGACCTGAAATTTTGAACACACATCCCAAATGACACAACAGAACTACTGCAACACTCGGAATTTCATTCCGACCCTTATATCAAAATCTCACCTATCAACCGGAAAACGCCAAAAACTCAATTTCGCCAATTCAAGCCTAAATCTACTCCAGACCTCCAAAACACATTCCGATCACGCTCCTAAGTCCCAAATCACCTAACGGAGCTAACCAAATCATAAAAATTCCAATCCGAGATCATATACTAACAAGTCAAATCTTGGTCATACCTTTCATTTCAAGCTTCAAACTGAGACCTGTTCTTCCAAATTCATTCCGACTACCCTGGAAATCAAAACCAACGATTTACATAAGTCATAATACATTACACGGGGCAAGTCATGCCTGAGAACTGACGAGCAAAGTGCAGAAGCTCAAAACAACCGGTCGGGTCGTTACATCCTCCCCCACTTAAACATACGTTCGTCCTCGAACGTGCCTAGAGTTGTTCCAAAAGCCAACCAATCGTTGATTAACCTTACCGTGCACATACTCGGGGGTGATCCCACGTCACCCTATCTCATATAGGTCCGATAACAAAACATAACTAAAATTTCACAATCTATCCTAGCCCATAAACCTTAGAACCACATTTCCACTTCCGAAATCATCCACGAGATCAGAATCTCACATCTATACTCTGAATAAGTCCGAACAAGCTGTAATAACCCATACCTGCAACCTCAGGTGCAATTACATGATATACCACATAACTCAAACACTTGTAGCGATAACTTCTAATCACGGCAGCTGCACACAACAACCGAATATCAATAGAACACCCCTTACCAGCTAAAGTCTCATTCCAAAACTTTCATATACTGCCAATGATAAATGAAACACGCAGTAAGCCATACTCCTTTGGCAAGGACCATAGCAAATTTCTGAGCCGAACCTCGATATTTATCCTTCCTACATGCTGAAATCGAATCCGTTCGTATTCATTAAAGATCTCAACGATCTCATCTAACCAACACAACTACTCTGGTGACATGACACCTCAATACTGACTAAAGCCGCAACTTGCGCAATCCGCGCACCAATAAGAAACAATCCGAACATACTCAACTCATGATAATGACTCAAATGAAAGAGTTGTGCCGCAAGCTCACCAGTACCACCACAACACAAGGCTGAGAACCCGCCTCACATCATAGAAACAGAACACACGAATCTAA